TGCCAATCCTCCGTAAGCGTGCCCTGCCCACCCATGAGCAGGGGGTGTTGCACCCCCTGCAAATGCCCCCCCCCAACAGGTCCGCGACTCAGAAAAGGTTGGGGACTAGTGTTGTAGATGACATCTTACAATAGTAATTTCTCCTTTGCATGTGAGGAAAGAGACCTGTTTTAAAATATTACTTGCCAAGTGTAGTTTAATCTGTGATGAATCAGGGCAGTTTTTAGCAAATTAAACACTTTAAATCAGTTAAGCTGTGTAGCATTGTAGCCCTCATTTTTTAATATTAAGCAAACTAATGATTTGCAATGAATTATAATGTGCTGTGTTGGCACATAATCTTATTTTTATCTTTTTATTAGTACTTTGTGCATCTTCATTTTGAAGGGGAAAAGTGAAGACTAAACGTTGAATAAGTAAACTTGCTTTATGGTCCATAGAGTCTAAAGTTCACTGCTCTTTTCTCAAGTCATGGCATGGATACCTTCCAAGCAATTAGAGGTCTTTCAGTTACTAACTTCCAAGAGCCTTCAGCCAGAAAGTCCAGACACTGAACCTAAAACTGTGAGCTAGGGAAGGGGAACTTCAGTAGTCTCAGTGCCGGGTCTGGGTGGGTGCCATTCCCAAAAATGGTTGCTCCCCTGAAATCTCACCCTCCAGAAAGATTTCATCACGTGGCATTTTTTCTCCTGCTTGAGAAGACGGGAGCATCTATCTGCTTCCTTTGTGCTCAGTGACTGAAGATGGCAGAAAGATTCTTTCTTTTGTACCACAAGAGGCAAAGTAAAGGATTTCATGCAGAGAGAGGGATGGAGAATGTGGAAATGGATACGGGGAGAAAGGAGGAAAAGATGTAGGTTTGAACCTTCTGCTTTTTTACCCCCAACCTAGGTCTGCTGGACAGTCCCATTTCCAGGACCAAAATGGTTTAATCTCGTAATATGGACTATTACTCCCCCAGCCCTGGTCATATAAAGAAAAAATAATCACAAGCAACGTTCTCTCTAACTTTCCACTAGTGGGAGCCCCGCCCCCCGCACATGGGGTTCCAGTTGGAACAGAACCAAATGAGTGCCAACACTGGCTGCAGGTGTACAGCACTGCATGGTCACATACACAATTCAGAGGGAACATTGGACACAAGACTAATGTATTTACTTGTTCGGACTTAATAGCTCTTTTCAATGAAAGTGTGACTTCCCAGCCATCAGTGATTGAATCTTTAAAACATCAGCATACCATAATCAGAGGGAAAATGTAATCAGATGGAACTGTACTCATATAGATTGGTTTTTAATCCTCTGTACTTTAAGGCTTGCAAACTAATTTTATTATTAAGCAGGTACTCTGAACGTCAGTGAAAATGAAGATGAATGAATGGAGGCCTTTTAAATACAGGCAGTATTCTCTCAGTTTTGAAAGATATTTGTTTATTTATCTGATTATTTATCTTCAGTTCCATCTAAAGGTACCACATAATATATTAAATTTGTATATGAAACAATCTTCAAGTGAATAATTTATGAAATTTATTGTTACTTGAGTAGATTATGCTACAGATTAAAAAATTTAGAACAAGAGTGCCTTTTGTAATTCTCAGATATAGTTTGTAATTCTAAGATTTTTTTTCTGTTCCCTTTTTATTTTATTTGTTTGTTTTGGTTATCTGCTTTTCTAGAGATCTATTGTACTTGAAAACATACAGAAAGCTTTGTAGTTTTTACACATCCAGCAGTATTGTACCTGAGATCATTCTGTTCTCGGAATGAAGAGGCTCAAGGAGACAGTTAAAGCTGAAGGTCCAGTTCCTAAAACCGAACAGAGAACAAAAAAGCAGAAAACCCGTTTCTACAGCTCTATATTGGACGCATCCCATCCTTACAACTTAAGAGACTGGGGAAGTCTGCCACACCATGTAGTTTTGCACATCTTTCAGTGCCTGCCTCTTGTAGATCGTGCTCGTGCATCTTCCGTTTGCCGAAGATGGAATGAAGTGTTTCATATCCCTGATCTCTGGCGGAAATTTGAATTTGAGCTTAACCAGCCTGCTACTTCCTATTTGAAATCTACTCATCCAGATCTCATCCAGCAGATTATTAAGAGACATGCTGATCACTTGCAGTATGTCAGCTTCAAGGTGAGAAAGAGAGGTTCTGAATGTTTTGTGTAAAGAATGAATGATACAGTGGTGCCTCGCTTAGCGATGTTAATCCGTGCAGCAGATATCGCTGCTAAGCGATTTAATCGCTAAGCAATATTAAAAAGCCCATAGAAACGCATTAAAACGCATTTAATGCGTTCCTATCGGCTTAAAAACTAACCTTATGCGAAAATCCTCCATAGAGGCGGCCATTTTCGGTGCCTTTAAAGCGAGGCAACATAGCGGGCGGCCATTTTGGAACCGCCAATCAGCTGACCGAAAATGGGGGCTTTGTGATGATTGCTTCCCTGCGATCATCACAAAGCGAATGTTCCCCATAGGGACCATCACTCGTCGCAAAGCGATTTCTTCGTTAAATGGAGCGATCGCTATGCGAGGCACCACTGTATATACTTCATATGTCCTTTCTATGCTGTATGCTCATTGCATTATAGAATTTGAATTCAGGTATTTTTTGGGATATGCCCATTTTCTAAACTTTACTGTGCTTTCACTAACATTTACTGTTTCATTTAAAAAAAATTTAAGATAGGAATTTCTAATGGAAATGTGCTTTCAGCTACAACTTTTGTATATTGCACACTTCCAGCTTCCCAAGGGAAAAGTGTTCAATTATTGCTGGATTTGAAACAATTTATCTTCCTCTTTGGTGTTTATGTAGAATTGCACATTATAAAGGGTAGTATATCTTTTTCAAATGTATCTTCTACATATTTGCTGATTGGGGGATCATACTGGAGCAGTGGGGGAACAGTGTATGTCAGGACCATACGGGCAATGGCTAATGCATCAGTAGACTTCACAGCCTATAGATACAAACGTGCATAAGTCAGCCCAAGTCATCTGTATGAAGCTTTTTAAGTACAAATAAAATGTATTCATTGAAATATTTTGCGTCCAGGTTGACAGTAGTACTGAATCTGCTGAAGCAGCATGTGACATCCTTTCTCAACTGGTGAATTGTTCTATCAAAACACTTGGCTTGATATCGACAGCAAAGCCAAGTTTCATGAATGTTTCCAAGGTATTGTCCTGCTTAGTTTATTATGTATGTATACTTTAAGAATACAAAGCCTGTCCTTCAAGTAAAGTCTAGTGTGGATTTAGTGAGTTTTTTAATTGTTATTTGAGAAGAGATTATGTATGGAGGGAAATATTTAGTTTTGGTTTTTTTACTTCTCAGCATTTATTCATGATACAAGTGATGCCTTGCAAGATGAATTTAATTCGTTCCGCGGTTAATGTTGTCTTGCGAAAAATTCATCTTGCGAAACGCATTTTCCCATAGGAATGCATTGAAATCTAATTAATGTGTTCTTATGGGCAAAAAAAGTCAGAACAAAGTCAAATCTGGTTTACAAAGGGTTTATTAAGTGTTCTTTAAAGCCATACATATTGTGCAGATGATTTTAAAAAATTCAATCAAAAAACTTTTAATTTTTTAAGCATCATAGAAAAACATTTTAAAATCAGCAAACATGAGGCAGGAACAAAAAACTAAAAACATTTGTCTTACGAAGCACGACCATAGGAACGTTTGTCTTGCAAGTCATCAACCACCACCACCACCCTTTGCCAAAACCATTTGTCTTGTGATTTTTTTTCCCTGTGAGGCATTTGTCTTGTGAGGCACCACTGTATTAGACAAAATAAAATATTTGGTAATTAGTGTGTGTTTTTATTTGTTTGCTTTCTGATTAGCCATACTCAGTATGCTTAATTAGCAGGAACCACTTCATAGTTGTTTTATTATATCATGCTTCACATATTTCTGAAGAAGGGAGTTGCCATTTCAGGGAGAGCCAGCCATAGAAACCTTGCTCCATCTCTTGTGGGTAATTCTGCAGTGCTTGTTTGATGTTAGAACTCTGACATTGAGAAGGGTACTGCAAAAACAGAGCATGTCAGGGGTGTGTTGGAGGGTGGGGAGGTAATGCATCCACAACTTTCTTAGCCTGAAAATACACACACAGTCAAGTCAGCAATAGAATTACACTCGCCCTGGATGTATAATGGAATGTCATTTCTTTCCCTTCTGTTTTTCTTCCCTTCATAGGCACACTTTGTTTCTGCACTGACAGTAGTGTTTGTCAACTCAAAGTCATTATCTTCCATCAAGATTGAAGACACTCCAGTAGATGATCCATCCTTGAAGGTCCTTGTTGCAAATAATAGCGATACTTTAAAATTACTTAAAATGAGCAGCTGCCCTCATGTGTCACCTGCTGGTAAGTGATAAATTTGAAAGGCAAAACATAACATTATTTAGTTCCAAATTATCTTGATGAATTTTATCTACTTACTTTTTCTGTGTTCTTAATGTAACTAGCTTTTCATTTCATCACCTTCATAATTTGGGATTAACTTCCTTTTGTTCTTTGTTTTAATTTATAAAACACATTTTTGGCCCTGCAAAAGGGACAAGGTAAAGGTAAAGGTTCCCCTTGACAATTTTTGTCCATTCGTGTTCGACTCTAGGGGGCGGTGCTCATCTCCGTTTCCAAGCCATAGAGCCAGCGTTTTGTCCGAAGACAATCTTCCGTGGTCACATGGCCAGTGCGACTTAGACACGGAACGTTGTTACCTTCCCACTGAGGTGGTCCCTATTGATCTACTCGCATTTGCATGCTTTCGAACCGCTAGGTTGGCGGGAGCTGGGACAAGCGACGGGCGCTCACTCCGTCGCGTGGATTCGATCTTATGACTGCTGGTCTTCTGACCCTGCAGCACAGGCTTCTGCAGTTTAGCCTGCAGCGCCACCACGTCCAAAAGGGACCCTCTTTAAAATACATACACATAGTTTTTGCATTTCTGCTTGAGCTTGTGGTTGTGCTTTTAGCATTTTTCATCCTGCAGTGTGGCGGACATCACACATGTTGCTGCAGAAGCTCTATTTATCCATCCTAATGACCATTTATTCAGATGGAGGCAACATTACGGGCCTGTACTTCATTCAGTTGAATAGTGAGGGGGTGTGCTCCACTCACCCAAGAACTAAATGTTTCAGATCCACCTTATAAATAATGTATATTAGTATATATTATCCTGTCTCCTTGAAAATAAGACCTAACCTAAAAATAAGCCCTAGTATGTTGTTTCAGAATTCATGTAATATAAACCCTACCCCAAAAATAAGCCCCAGTTAAGTGAAAGCCCACCCTCCATCATTGTGTAACAACCAGAAGAAGATGACATGTCATAATAAATGTTGATTGTTCTACATTAAAAAAATAAACCATCCCCTGAAAATAAGCCCTGATGCGTTTTTGTTTTGTTTTGTTTGTTTTTTGTTTTTTGGATCAAAAATTAATATAAGACCCTGTCTTATTTTCGAGGAAACATGGTATTTGTAGAATGTTTTCATCTTTCCACAGTTATATAATCTATGTGTCTAGGAAGACATGTGTTTTAAAAAGGCCTTCATACATTCCTGCTGCCATAGCATACATCTATTTTGCTACTCAGTTGAGAGAACTTTAGAACCAAGACTGGCGTTTATAACAATTACAAAATTATCATCATGCTTTATGTATACCAGAACTTTGTAAATGACTTCACAACAGACTTGTCTCTGTACACACATGAGAGATGTTTCGTTGCTTCTGCTGGCAAGTAAAGAGTACAATGCACTGTCTTTCGTAGGATGAGAACTGCAAATCCTTATGTACTCTATTTAGACTAAAATACTTTTCTGAATGAGCCAACTGGAACTTCCAAAGAAAAGGTTCTTGCTACAGTTGTGATGCAACCCAGTCATCACTTTAGACTGATTGCTGGTATGTCTGCTGAACAATATAGTTTCTTGGTTAGAAATACTCATTTTGCAACCATAAAAACCTATATATAAATAGATAAGTCATTAGTTATTTGTGGCAGGCAGATTTATTGTCTCATTGCTTTCTGAAGCAGCACAATTTTATATGCCTCTCCACTTTGAGGTGAATTTTATTCATTTCAGTGAGGCGTCCTCTGGTTCAGGATTGCAGCCTAGTAATAATTGTTACTGGTTTTGGATAATTGTGGAAGTACTTCTTCAGCATGAAAGAGATTTTAAAAACTGACTGTTTGTGTACTCATTTTTCCTTTTTTTTTTCGTTTCTTTTTCTTGTCTAGGGATTCTCTGTGTTGCTGATCAGTGTCATGGCCTTCGGGAACTTGCTCTTAATTACTATCTGCTAAGCGATGAATTGTTGCTGGCACTGTCAAGTGAGAAACATGTTAATCTTGAGCATCTGCGTATAGATGTTGTAAGTGAGAATCCTGGACAGATTGAGTTTCACACCATCAAAAAGCAAAGTTGGGATGCACTTATCAAACACTCCCCCAAAGTCAGTATTGTAATGTATTTCTTCCTGTACGAGGAAGAATTTGATGCTTTCTTTAGGGAGGAAACTCCTGTAACTCATCTCTATTTTGGTCGTGCAGTAAGCAAGTCAATGCTCGGACGTATTGGAATGAACTGTCCAAGACTGATTGAATTAGTTGTGTGTGCTAATGGCCTTCAACCTTTGGATGATGAACTCATTCGCATTGCAGAACGCTGTAAGAATCTAACGGCCATGGGACTTGGTGAATGTGAAGTTACATGTCGAGGCTTCATTGAGTTTGTAAAGATGTGTGGAGGCAGGCTTACCCAACTATCTATTATGGAGGAAGTGCTTATTCCAGACAGTGACTACAATCTGGATCAAATTCATTCTGAAGTTTCCAAGCACCTTGGAAGAATGTGGTTCCCTGATATGATGCCAACATGGTAAACTGTCTGTTCAGCAAAAAGCCACAGTTGTCAGAACTGGCTATATAGGGTGTTGCTTTCTATGCAAACAAGGAATCATACTGATACTGTATTATTTTTCTCCATAATTAATTGCATCATTGCAGTGGTGCCACTTCAGAAATGAAATACAGAATATACTGTACAGATTGAAAGTATGTTTATAAGGTAATCATGCTTAGTTTATTCTCCAATTAATTGGAGTATTTTTAACAGATTTGTGTTTAATAGTTAAGTACTTGGTATAGTACAAAGTACTACAGTACTAGTGTTGTGGCTAAACAGTTTGGCCTTTCTGGTAAAATGTTGACTAATGGGTATCTGAAGTTTTCAGTGGAAGTGCTGTGTTTTTGGTTCTTTTCAATAAAACATGGTGATAACATAACAAACTTCTAAACAGCAGCAGCTTGTAGTGTGGTGAGACATATAGTCTGAGACCTATATGTATTACTGTTGTGGAAAATTACAAGTTCATGATACAATGGAACAATTATATAAATGTATTATATCTATTCTCAAATTACATAAGTTATTACTAAGATAAATTATTGCTCTTATGGTCCAATGTGGTAAGTACATAGAAAGCACTGTTCAGTTTATGCCATAGATGCTAGAATTCTGATTTTGGATTGACAACAGCTCACATAGTGTTTCAGTCGTAAAACAGAACTGACAAAGCCCAAGCATCCACCTTTTGAAAATTATTTTAGTTTTTGCCAGCCACTGCCAATAGTTGTGCTGTAGGCAGTTTGAAGAACAATGACTTTGTCTTCCCCAGGAACTCTGCCGTCTTGCTTTCATTAATATCAAGGATAGTGATACAGTATTTTCCCTTGTCAAATTACCCCTCCTATCACTTTCTGCATGGAACTCTGGTGTATCAATAGAAAATACTAGAATGAACAGGATAAATGTTTTCCTGTGTAATACTGATGCTCCTTAGAAAATGTTTTATGTTTCTGCAGAGTAATAGCTGTCTTTCCTAAAGTTCTACTCAGACTTCATTCTCAGCCAGAGAACAAGGCTTCCTCTTTTTTAATGGAGCATCTCTACAAGAGGAAGCCTTGTTCTCTGGCTGAGAAGAATACAGCGTATTTTCTTAAGGTGCTTCTTTTTCAAGCATTGAAGCTACATAATTTCTTTGTGGGTTCTTAAAAGACACTAATGTATTCTCTATATCACAGTCATGTTACATTTTATACAGCTACAGAATAATCGCATAATGACAGGGTAGGCAACTTTTGTTTTTATTTTGTTTTTTCTTAAAAGTTAAGGAATTTGGGCAGAAAATTACAGCAGTGAAAAAATTATTGGGGATGTGTTAAGAGTATGTGGCTTTTCTGTATACTAGATATTTGCTTTCATGGGGGAAACATGCAGAATTTTTCTCTGAAGTTATGCATTTAGGAAGACTCTGCTCATGGACTGAGTTTGATCCCAACAGGCTCAAGTAGCTGGCTCAAAGTTGACTCAGCCTTCCAACCTTCTGATGTGGGTAAATCTGAGAACCCAGCTTCTGAGGGGTGAACAGTGTGTAGCCTGCATAATTAAATTGTGAACCACCTAGAGAGTGCCTTAAGCACTTTGCTTTTGTGATGGCTTTTCTTGGTTAGGGATTGGGTGCAATTCATTTGTTCAAAAGTAAGAACAGTTGAATTTGGTGTGAATTATTTGATGTAGTTCATAAGGACTACATGCTCTCATGACTATGGCTGTAGGGGCAGCGGAGATTCCAGCCTGTGTATCGTACAGTTTTTTATAGAATGCAGAGCACTTGCTTTGGGGATAAAATTACTTATTCTGAGTCTCTAACATCATGAGGAACTAGTCATTTATATCAGTGGTTCTTAACCTTGGGTTACTCAGGTGTTTTTGAACTGCAACTCCCAGAAACCCCAGCCAGCACAGCTGGTGCTGAAGGCTTCTGGGAGTTGCAGTCCAAAAACACTTGAGTAACCCAAGGTTAAGAACCACTGGTTTTTAAAGCTTAAAAATGGGGCTCAGTGACGTCTGGTTAGAAGAGGAGCAAAAAGTCATAAATTGGGGCTTCGAGTTAATGGGAGGGACAATTCGCATCCTGACGAACCTTTTAGCTTACATCCTCTGAAAATTGCAAGAATGAAAGTGAGCTTTCTCTTAAGAAGTAGATTACAGTCATATTTGGGCTATTCTTCAAAATTACTACTGAAGCCATGCGTATATAATGTTTTACATTGTAGAAAGGTACAGCAGTTCAATCCTAAGGATCACATTCAATTGTTAGGCCCAGTTAGATTAGATTTACTCAATCAGTGGGGCTTAGTAAGTCAGCTGGTATGTAAACACCATTGATAGCAAGTCTGTTCTAGTTGGGAATAACAGTTGAATGTTGCTGTTGCTGTTCAAAACAAATTTCACAGAGCCAGTTCCACAATGACTGAAGTTTTCTAACAGTTATGTACTGACTAAAGCATAATGTTGTGAATACTATTTCAGAATTTGATGTACATCATGTATAAAAAATAAAAAATATGGATACGATACTGATGCATTTCAGATAATATGCACATATGAGCAGAGGTGGGATACACTAACTTGACCAAGTCCTCCCACTCATGTAACAAGAATAGACACCAGACTAGTATCTATGGTCAAATCATGGGCAATAAGATCTTGCAACCCAGCTTGATACCAGGTGAAGCAAAAGTGAATACCATACTGATGGAGCAAATAGTGTCCAAGGAAAGGAACAAGTGAGTTATTAGGGTAAACATAAATCACCCACTGCTGTTCCTCTACAGGTGACCGGCTGCATCTTCTGCTGCCCATAATTAATAGCATCACTCACTTCGCAAATTCTTACTTCTCAAAAACAGACTTCTCCCAAACTGTCTTGTTCTCTCACTAATAAGAAACAACTTATATTTTTAACCACAACCACGAGTCTTCATGAGGAAGTACTGGAAAAGTCAACTGGCAGCTTATATTTTCCATATTACTAGATTTTAACATCCTGTGTTCTTTAAGGATACTTCTAGTACCATTAACGATTTGTCCTGGATGGCACTACGTATTGGGGCAAGCCAATTGTGAGATGGAGGGAATGGTTTACCTCGAAGCGTGTCCAGTCTATATACACACAAGGCTATTTTGTAGTGCATTAGAAATCATTACATTTGTCAAATAACTAAAGTCTAGGATACCGATGGTGAACCTATGGCATGTGTGCCACAGCTGGTACGCAGAGCCCTTTCTCTAAGTCACCGGATTGCTAGTCTCCCCCTTCCCCCACAGCCAAACCTCAGGAGGTGCCTGCAGCCGCGGTGCTGCCACATCAGGTGGCAAGCCAGGATCTGGAGCAGCTGGTGCTGGTGCCAGATCTGGAGTGGGGTCTTGCACCTCCATGCCTGGTATTCCCACTTCTGCCACCAGTTCCAGTTCAACCACTGCCACTTCTGGTTCTGCTGTGGCCCGCCGCCCACTAGTTTTTTGTGTTTATTTCAGTTTGGGCACTCGGGGCCCAAAAAGGTTCGCCGCCACTGATCTAGGATCATGTTTATGCACTCATTAAGTCTTCCTCGAAAGTACTGCATCACTCAGTATTTAGCAGTATGTAAAGCCTTTTGAAACTATTTGTGGACAGAGATACCAGAGGGACCATTTCACTAAATTCTTCCCGGCAAAAGAGGTATTTTTGAACAATTTTGCAATGTGCTCATCAGTAGCAGTGATTGTACTACAGATGTATATTTTTTTCCCCCAGAGGTCTGAGTTTTTTGATTGTTTTTGTTCTGTTACTTCTAAATCAGTGGTTCTCAAACACTTTGACCTCACAGTTCCTTTGATTTACTGACCATTGGCCATGGCTTCCCTTGCTCTAAGGGCCATCAAGGGTCTCTCTCCCATCAAGGGCAGTATCTTGACTTCCTTTCCCAACCATCTCATCTCCCTCCCCCCCTAATATTCCTGAGGGCCCACCTTGTTCCAGCTCCTGACACAGGAAAACTCAGGAGCCACCCAACAAGCACTTCTTCCACAATTCCTCTACCTAGTGTCATTCTAGTACTGGTGGGCAGGGCTGAATTTGAGTGAGTTAATACTTGTTAACTCTTAATTGTGACTTAAAACTGGATTTCAACCATTGTGATCCCTTCCCCACAAATTCTGTGACCTGTGGAGTCACAGCATGTGGAGATTTGTCTCATGATTTATAATGAACGCATACCACATAGAAACAGGTCAAGCAGGGACTTAACAGCTAATCCATAGTTTGTCTACACACATGACCCACTGTTATACACATATACTATACTTCTGCTTCAAATACGAAGTGTGGGAGTAATTGATAGTTTTGGTGACCGTTCAGAACAGATAGTACAACAAAAAGCATAGTGTAGCAACAGACGTGGGCTGTAGGCAGAATGGATGCGGTTGGCGGAGCAGATCTGAACCTCTCTGGGGAGCTTTTTGTGGATGGTCATGCTGGTTGTATGCAGGTGCTAGGGTTGCAAAAAAGAATGAATGTACATTGGTTTTTTAAATTACACTGGCAATAAGAACCACTGGTAAACTGGATTTTGCATTACTAAAAAACGGCAGCTACACAATGTGCGGGTAAGCCTGCAAATCTGACACCCCTTGCAACTTTTTTTAAATAATTGCAGTTGTCAGTGCAACAATATGCCACTTCATTAAAAAAATAGAAATATTAATTAAACAGTAAAAAAATTTGAGGAACATGCAATCTGCAAACTAAAACATAAATGAAGCAATTTCATACAGTGTAGCTTCCCAAAGCAGGTCAAAATAGCAAAACTATACCAAAATACCAGAACAATTTGATTTAAGTGAACTCATGTAGTGATTTAAGTCCCATGTGACTTTAGATCGGTATAGAATACCTTAGGACTGAATTCCATACAAATCAGCAGTGTGACTAGGCCCTGACTTGCAAGACCAGCGTACGCACCACAGACAGGAGGTATGTGCTGTGTGCATTTGAGTGCATGCATTGCTCTCCAAATCTGCCACATTAAGTTTTGGGGTATATGCCAGGTATCCATCTGAAGCAATAGGCTCTGTGGGATGCTCTGAAATAAAGGATTCTGACATAATCTAGATTTGTTACTGAACAAATGCTATATCTATATTCCAAAATGGTCAGCAGAGGGAGTAGTAGTCCTCTGTTTCATCATTTTAGTTGACATTTTCCTGAATTATTTTGGCTTTTGCTTCTTGGACTTAAAATATTTATCAATATTCTCTGCAGGATATTTTTCTGTTCATAGGGATAGAGAATTAAAATCAAAATTAAGAAATTAAAATTCTTTAAATGATCTACCACACCTTAGATCAGAAAAATAAGCCATCAAAACCCATTAATGTAATCAACTAATACTACTGGTCAAAACGTTCTACTACTGACCATCAAACATACCACCTTCAGCTAGCGTTCTGGCCATAACTGGACTTGAGTTTAGTAGCAGTCTTCACAGCAGCTGAAAGCTGATGGATCTTCTGTGCATGTTGCAATGACAAGATACTTTGGCTTTGTCGGTCTTGAGTGAAGACCCATTAGTCTCATGAGAAACATGTTCTCACTGGAGATGGAAACTTCTGGAAATGCTCTGCAGAGATTGGATCAACAGAACTGTTTGCGTTTGTGGACTCAGAGGAGAGCTGTGTGAACTGGTCACAATGGCCATCTGCACTCTGCATGTGTCGTTGCTATTGAAAACAACAATGGGGAAACTCCACCTTTATCCTCCTAAGATGTGGATGTGTCCAGGAGAAGGTAAAGCTAGTACGCGTCTCATGCTCTTTGGCTGCAGAGTCATGTCTTAGAGAGTACACATCAGTATGCCTACATCACCTCTTTTATTTGCTACATGACAGGCAAAATACATGACTCGAGGAGAGGTTTTCACGGTAGAGACTAGCCTTTATTAGGAAGGGTTGAGTGGCATTTAGCACATCTCAGAAGATCAGGACAAGCTATCATATGTCTTCCATTATAACTTTATATGTCCTCTAGGACTCTCCTGCCACTAGGGCTGAGTCATACCTACACTTTAAATTCATACGTATCTATGCAATCTACATCCTACACTATATATGTATGTACACATTGCTGAAGCAGTTGAGTCAAGTGGTTGGACTGAAAGAGCAAAGAAGGAATTCTGTGTTGCATACCACTTGCTTTCTCCACCGGGGTCAGCACATGAAGCAGTCATGTGATTTGCGCAGTGCTTGAAAGAGCCACTCCTCTGGGCACCAGCCATGCCCTGAGAGACACAGA